TCTATACAGGAAGGGTTATTGACCGATTTAAAACAAGTTGGTTCTTTAATTAAATTAGTACATTGATAAAGTTGAAGTAACTCCTTCTTTTTTTTTTCTGAAGGTGAAAATATTAAAATCTCCTATTAGAATAAAATCAAGATATAATTGCAAATAAAAGTCAAGCACTCCTTTGGTGATTTAAGAAATAGTCACAGTTCTGATATTGAAGTAAATCGTAGGTATCTTCAAGAGTAAATGGTTTCAATAAAAGTTTGATAAGGTCATTGAAATTCTATTAAATATTGATATTGCTCTTTTAGTTGAATGATTTATATTTTTTAATTTTGGAACTAATTTAGTTTAATAACTTTTAAAAGGGATAGAAAAAATCTGCTATAATAAAACCCGTAAGTACCAGTTAACGTCTTATTTTAGATTTGAATTGCGGAATTTTTTTTAATATAAATAATATGCTGAATAATTTCCCACAAAGTTGGCCCCTGGTACTGAATAGAATAAGAACATAAATTTAGAATAATGTTTTAGAGTAACTAAAGTAATTTCTGGATTTTAATGAGGTATTTATCGCTTATTTCTTTAAAAAAAAGGATAGAAAATTGTTGAAGCTAGTGTATGCTTAATTTTGTAAATGAATTATATCAATAGGAATAGGACTATATAAAACGGATTTTAAACACATTTACTATATCAAAAGAACTATATCAAAATGATTTAAAAATCATTTAATGCACTAGGTTTACGTAGAAGTAGCTCATAAGACATTGTTTTTGTTGCTCTAAATACAATTCTACATGCATGATTTTGTTTAATATAATTTTTTTTTAACTTAATGTAGCTGGTTTATATTAAAAATGACATATTTAATGTATGGATAAAGCAATACCGTAATATTTTGAAAACTAAAAACATAGAAATTTAAAAAAAAAAATTTTAATATAAATAATTTAACATAACAGGGAGGGAAAAAAATTTTTTTTTTTCCCTGAAAAGCTAGAATAAACTAAAATAATATGGTTTCATTAAATAAAAGCAAAATATGCAAAAACATTTGCTAAAAAATGTAATCATTTTGAACTAAAAACCGGAATAAAGACATTTAATTTTAATTTAGATAGTTCAGTAAACTTAAGATTGACAGGTTTGCGCATCATTTATAAAAAAAACCTACCAGTCAATCTTTAGTTTACTAAACTATTAAATTTAAATTAAGTTAAAAAAGTTTCTTTAACACTTTTTAGTACAAAAAGAATATATATCTTAGCTAATGTTCGTTCTATATTTTGTTTTTATTTAAGTATAGTGATTTAATACCTTCAGAATTCTATAAAACAATTTTTTGCAGTTTTCAGAATGATTACAACAGTTAAAAATCCAATAAAACCCTATTTTTATTGAAAATTGTTAAAACAATACATTTTCTTAACAATATTTGTAACGCATGCGTTTAACTATTTCAAAAGATCAATATGACATATCGTCTAACTGGCATAATTCTAAAACTGGCCAATAGTCTAGCTAATTCAAACTGGCAAACAAAATAACGCCAATATTAGCATATCAATATTGGCAATATGGCAATGCCAATAAGCTAACTTTCTAACTCGACTTCTTCTGACATTCGCTTTTTTGCTCTTCCCAACATCTTAAAATCAGATAATTGGCGTCCCTATCATTGATTAATATATTATCCACTGATATTTAGCTAAAATATGAATTTGCTCATATTTTAAAAAATTTTATTATTTAAAAAAAAGGATTTTACAATTTTGAAATGATTTAAAAAACTGTCAAGTTTTATTATTAGTGCCATATTGGTGGCCCAAGACAATTGCCGAATTGTCTTAGTGGACAAGCCGGACCTGCATACCAATATAAACAAATATTAAAATGTCAATATTGCTTTCATATTGTAATATTAAAATGCCAAAATTGAGGCTTTATTAGCATAATCATTTTGCCAATATTGATATGTCAATATCAGCGCTTTTTTTTGGCAATATTGATGATTTAACTTGTACGCATGCGTAACAAAATTTGTTAAGAAAAGATATTTTTTTTCCGGTTTTTATTAATTATGGGATTTTATTGGAATTTTAATTGCTGTAATTATTCTTAAAACTGAAAAAAATTGTTCTATTGAACTCTATTTTTAAAAAATTGTTTTACTGAAGGTATTAAATGACTATAATAAATTAATAATAAAGTATAGCAAAAACACTTGCTAAAAAACTTAATTTTGTTGTATTAAAAAGCGGTAAACAAACTTTTTTAGCATTATTTAAAATTTAATAGTTCATTATACTAAAGATTTACTTGTATATTTTGTTATGAATCTTGTGCAGACCTGTCAATTTGTAATTTACTAACTTAATATAATAAAAAAAAAAAGTTTTCCGCTTTTTGGTACAAAAAGATTAAATTTTTTAGGAACTATTTTTGCTATATTTTATTTTTACATTTGCTTTATATATTTTGACAAAGTAAACCTCATACTTTAAATTTTTAAATACCAAAAACTATTTTGACTTGGTTTAAATTTTTATCAAACTTTACTAGACTTTTAATCAATAACTTGTTTTGCTGCTGATTTTGTCATTAGTCGCTCTAGTTGCTTGAATTATTTGTTACTTGTCATCAAAGTTGAGATTATTTTTCTTTACAGCTTGCTTTGCTGCTTTTAGGGTGTCTGCATCTTTAGAGTATTTTATGTTAACTATGCTGACACACATTCCTTTGAACATTAGCATTGACACTTTTTTATTTTTTGCGTCAACCTGTTGGATTCAAAAGACTAGTCGCAAAACTGTGCCTTGTCTGCTACCAAAGTTAGAGCCCTCTTCTACAAGACTCTATTCTAGGACTATTGTTGTTTCAACTGGGCATAAATGATCTTTATTAATCACTTATTTTTATTAACACAAAAATATTAAAATAATTTGCAAAGATGTTAATGAACAATTAGATAAAGTTAATGGGTGGTTTGCAAGTAACAAACTTTCTCTAAACGCAGATAAATCTAAAACCATTTTGTTTAAAAAATTGAATAAAACTGATAACGTCTCATTAAATTTACTAAACCAAATTATAAATAAAGCTATAATGAAAAGAGAATCATTAGAAAACATTTTAGGCGTTGAAGTGGACGAAAATTTAAAATGGAATTTTTATATAAACAGTCTTGAAAAAAAATGTTTAGAAATATAGGAATGATTTATAGAGCTAAACCATTTCTTAGCTTTAAATCACTAAAATGTTTAATCTTTGCACATATTGAAAGTTACCTCAGGTAGTGTAATATTGCCTGGGAAAGTACCAATCATACAAAATTAAAAAGGATTTATAGTAAGCAAGAACTATATCATAAATGACGAATTATATTTCGAGCAAATAGAATAAAACCATGAGTGCCTTTATTGTATTTACTTTAAGCTTTATTTATTTATGAAATAAGTCTACATGAAATTTTAGTTTTCATGTATAAAACTAAGCAAACAGGTAATTTTGTTGCCAAAAATATTTGAGTTCTATTATAGTAAAGTCTGCCATAAGTATACCACAAGATTTTCAGTCAACAGCTATGCTGTCCCAGAATATAGTTTAAAGTTAAGCATACACTCAAGTATCGTGGGCCATATATATGGAATTTATTTTTAGATATTACAAATAAAATGAAAAACACTCTTGTTCAATGCAAAAAAGATTCTAAACTATTAATTTTATTTATGAATCTCAATATGCTAGATTTTAAATGTTTCTTTTAAATAAAGTAAAGGTCTGATAAAAATAGAAAACTTAAGAAAAAAGATAACTAAAAAAAAATCTTTTAAAAGAATGTTATTACCACAATCTACCATAACACAGTTTATAAATGATATCATTCTCTCAAAAAAATTATATGTATGTACCTCTTTTTTTCATTTTTTTCTTTTATTACAAGTATATAACTGTTTTTTTGCAGTTGTAGCTGCCTTCTTTTACTTTTTGCAACTGCAGATAATTTAAGCATTTTAGCAATTATTTATTACTACTTTGTATATTTACGCCAGTATAATATGATGTTTATAAATCACGATTGTATAAAAAGAGGACTCGGTGATAAGACATAACTATGGCTTTTATTTGCTCCAACCATTACTTATTTTATTATATACATATTTATAAAAATTGAATTTAGTGTACAACGCAAAATAACCATATTAAAAAAGAAAAACAAAAAGCCAGGAGAAACGATAGAGCAAAACGAGCAACACAAATGAGCCAACTGCAATATTGTAATATCGGTAGAGATAACAAAGTTAAAAGTTAGTTAAAGTTAAGTTTGTTATGGTATTACAACATAATAACACCTAACGTTTACAAGAAAAAATAGTTTCCTCCTACTATTATACACAACTAAACCGAGGCTTTATATCAGAGTTTTACATCTAAGTAAGTTCCTTTTACCACATTATACATGCCTCACCTTTCTTATTAAAAGATCCGTAATAACATAATGACCAAATTCAAAGAGGTTGAGTAAAAGTAATTTTGAAAATAAAAAGTCAACTATTAACTTGTAACTTCTTATGTTGTATTAAAACTTTTTCAATAACCTTGTAGAATGATTATCACATGTTAAATTGTTAATTTTTGAGTAAAACTCAAAAACTAACAATTTAACATTAACATTTGACTTTATTAACGTTTATAACATTATAATTAAAAAAAAAAATAGCATAATTAGAGCCATTTGCAGATACGTAACCTAAAACCATATTGGTTAATCATATTTGCTAAGTAATACAGGGATGAGGTTAGTGTGAGAGTGTGTTATACAAGAAATTTTTTTGGCACCATAATTTAACAATTTTTATCATTTAATTTTGGGAATTCCAAATACTTATTATTTTTAAAACTAATTCAAATTATAGTTAATAAAAAGAGGGTATCTTTTTAAATAAAAACATATGTAGTAAAAAACATTACGTTATAAAAAATTATATTTTGAAAACACTTACTCGATCAATACCCCATTGTATGTAAAATTCAGTTGAGGTTTGCAATTACTTTCTAAATTTGTAAATAAGTTAATAATTCTTTATAGTTATTGAAAAAACAAAAAATTAAGAACTTTTACCAATATAACATTTAGAAAATAAAAAAATTAAATTATCATAATGAGTTTATTACAATATTTAAATATAGTTTAGATTATGAAAACATTTTCTTTACACCATTTTCTAAACAAGAAAATAACCAATTAACTGAATTCTAAATAATACATTAAAATATATATATATATATATGATTATTAAGAAGCAAATTAAGTTAAAAATTTCTTTTATGTTTTGCTTTTTCATATAGTTATCATAAAGTGTCTGAGTTGATTCATATAGATAATACCAACTCCGAAAAATTTGCAGCAAAGTGCTTAATGTAAAGCAAGTCTTGTCATCAACAATAAAATAGGACTTTATATGAATTTGATTTTGTTACCAGTATTTTGGACAAGTTGAAAGTTGGTATAAAAATTTGTGTTTAAACTATTTTTTACTCATGTTTTTTAATGTGTAAAATAGGGGTATTCAGTAATTTCTTATTTATACTAATAAAGTGTTTATTTTCAATTTTTTATAGATTACTTGTTTAAAATAAATTGATCTGCAGCAATCTTCTGCTAAGTTGCTAGAGTGCATAAGGTATGATGTAAATATCAATCTTTAATGCTATTTATATCATAATATTTGTGCATTATTTTAGATTTTGACTATTATTTTAGTTACTAGTTTGTAAATACTATAATTAGTTTGAATTTGCAAAAAACTAATAAAATTCAATTAAAACTTTAAATCATTTCTGAATAAATGTAGGATATAACTAATTTGTTAGAACTTACTTGAAGATTTTCATTAGATTTGAGTCTGAAGTATTTAAGTTCTAAATTTTTTCGTTTATTACTTTTTTGTAATTTTTGAATTTATTTGTAATAAATAATTTTATAGATTTTAGGTAGTTTTAATTTTTAATTTTCAATTTTTAACGACTTTATGGTTAAATTGTTAATACATAATTTTTTGGAAAAAAATGTATAACGAAGTAACAACAATGTAACAACAATGTAACAACAATGTCACAACAATGTCACAACAATAATAAAAACAATGTAACAAGAACGTAACAAAAACGTAATAACAATAAAACAACATTTTAAAAATAATGGATAACAATGTAAAAGCAATGAAACCACTATGTAAACACAGCAATTTATCAACAGTATTGTTACAACTACATTGTTGTTACGTCTTTATTACATTGAATAAAATTCAAACCGTTACAGTGTTTAAAGTTCAAAACTTTTTTGTTTTTTAAAGTTCAAAACAGTGTTTAAAATTCAAAACTTTTTTTTGTTATTAGACGAAAAGTTTATTTTTTAATATAAAAAAATATATATAAAAAACATCTAACTTAATTTTTGAAGTAAAGTAATAAGTTAATGGTACTAAGAAAAGAAAAAAAGTTTCATAGAATCATGAAATATTTTATTTTAATTTTTTTGAAAGAAAAAAATCAAAATAATTATTACAGAACACTTACTAACACAGCTGAAAACATCTTTACCCAAGTTCCAGGTTGTTTCACACGTACAAATATAGCATTCATCTTCATTTATACAAACACTGTGTGACCAAAAGCAAGGTTTAGTGCAACTTTTAACACCTAAATATTTATAATGCATGTTTCTCTTGAACAAACTATTTTGCATTATGACAAAAATAGAAAAAAAAAATTATAAAAATTATGAAAAAATATATGTTGACTTTAGTTAAAACTAAATTCTATATATCTTTATTCATAATTATCTTATAAAACAAAAATAAATAATCTAGACTTTACCTGTTAAGACCAGCACACAGACAAGTTTTTGCTTTTTATTTTTTGATTTAAATTTTTATATGCAATTAATTGTACATTAGGTTGTTTTGTCTTTTTATAGATTAAATATTTTATTAATTTTGTACAAAACTTGTCAAAAACTAAAAAATCGCTGCAAATAACTTCATATTGGTTTATATGTGCAATATATAAGAAACTTTTTTATCTCATTTTTAAATGAATTAAAGCATATGTTCGCTAAATAAAAACCTGTTTTGACCAAAACAATAAAAATGCCTTCAGATTAGAATTTTTATAAACAAAACGTTTTTTTACTAACGGGTGATGCATAATTAGTGACACAAAAATCAAAGCCTTATATTTTTAAAGAAATAAAAGAAAAAAAATTTTTCATTTTTAAAAAATAATAACACAATATTTATTTTTTAAAAATTATTTTTTGTAATCTCAATTTAATTTTGATACCCTTCAAAAGGTATTGTAAAAATGTCAAATCAATTTTTTTCAGACAGGCTTCGATACGCCGAATCAGTTGTTGATCACTTTTGGCCCCCCATCCACCCTCATACACATTCTGAGCCAATACTTCCCAAAAGTTTTCGATTGGTCTGGCTTTGTGGACATTAGGAGGGTTCATATCGACCGGCACGAAGTTAATCATTTTATTCATCCACAATATTGCCTCTTTAGCTCTATGGGCACTAGCAAAATCCGGCCAAAATATGTAATTTAAATCATCGTGATACTTATCTATGAATAGCAACAATCGTTGCTTTAAGCATTCTTTGATATAAATTTAGGATTTTATTGCAGCCGAGGTTGACGACCAGAAGAGTGGTTTCGACATTCCACGCTCAGATAATGCGATCCAAACGAGAGTTTTTTTCGGAAATTTATCTTTTCCCACAAAACGAACACTTTCTGGACATTTTTCTTTGTCGTTCGTATAATAACCGGCGTTTCCAGGCATTTCATTGCCAGCAAAACAAAAGTATTTTTTGTCGTCTAAAATTAAAACGCTTTGTTCTTTGTAGAGGTAATTGACGAGTTTTCGACTTCTTTTTTGTGCCCTTAGACGTTGTTCATCATTGTATTTCGGTGTTTTTTCGCGTTTCCGATATTTTATGTTCATTTTGGCTAATTGTCTACTAATTGTTGCTTGATTTACGTTGAATTTACGTGCGAGCTTTCTTTGACTTACACCTTTTCGATTGTTAGTCAACCTTTTAAGTTTCGCTTTTTTTTCTTGAGTCCACGATGACGGGCAACCAGAATTTTTTTTATTTTTATACATTGTTCATCAAGCTGTCGATTGATATATCTATATGCTGTTTTGCGAGCGATTCCTTCTTTAATAAAATTGTTAGCGGCCTTGGCTTTGGTCGCTTTTGGGTTTTTTACAAAAAAAATTTTGACGCCTTTTTAAAGAGCTGCTCTTTCTTGGCCGTTTAACATTTTTTTTGGATAATTTTTTTTTTTAATAAAACTAGAATGTTTAATTTACCAAAATAAATTTATATGGTTTAATGAAAAAGATTATATTACGAGCAAAACTATGTTAACTTTTGTGTCACTAATTACGCATCACCCGTAACAAAGCATTTTACAAAAGTTGTAAAAAATGAAAATATTTTTTACAACTTTTGTAAAATGCTTTGTAGTAGTCATCTTAAAAACATTATAAACCAAAGCAAACAGTGTTTCTCATAAAAATACCAAACATACTACTAAATAAAACAAAGTGGTATTAAATTAATTTTTCTAACCACTTTACATTTTTTTATTGTTTTTTTAATTTGACTGAATCTTGTTGCTTTTGAAATAAACAGACAAAAAAAAAAAAAATAGTATAAAAAAGTTGTTTTTAGCTAAAAACTTGAAGAAAGAAAGAAAAAAATAAACACTTTAGATTTAAAAGCACATATTTATGTATATTAAAACATTTTGATGAAATGAAAGAGCTATTTTACATATAAAGTAGTGTTTTCATTTAATGGTAAAAAATAATTTTGCAAACCTTATAAAAAGCCAAAGAGGTTTTTTGCTTTTTGTCTTGTGGCTGTGCCTATTATTTTTTTTAATTGTTACAATTAAAAATTTGTAACAAATGTTAAGTAATCTTGAAAAAGACAAATTAGACAATTTATTTGACTTGAAAACTGCAGTTTCTTGTTTTAGTTATGTAAAGCAACATTTGATGAATCATACCAGAGTATTAAATAATAATATGTTTATTTATTGAAGTTTGTATAAGCTTTTGAGGTGTCTATTTTATTGGATCATGTACTAATCTGTTTTTATATAAAATTGACTATTTATTACAATTTAACAGTTTAATTTTTTTATAAAAGGTACATTTATGTCTATTATAAATGAAGCTAGAGTGTTTATCAAAACCACTAAGTGCCTTTGTTTTTAATATAAAAATGAAGTTTTTTAATAAAAAATAAAAAAAGATTTTTAATTTTGATTAAATATTGTAAATTGTACCTATATTTTTCATGTTTTTATTGAAAAAAACTGTACTTTTTCACTGAAACAATAAGTACTTATTTTTTATGATGTTGATGTTGTTTTGTAAGCATTTTTAACTTTAGTTAATGTAACTAGTTGTTAGTGCTTTCTAAAGCATCAACTATTAATATTAAACAAACTTATTCATTGCAAGAACTATTATTGTTTTTGTATGAATTTATTTTATTTGTCATTAGCTCAGCCAATTGTGGGCCTTTGAAATGTAATAAATAACTGATGGGTTGTAAAATAAGACTAATAGTGTTACTCAATTGTAAAACATGTTAAACTTATAGTTAAGCTCTTATAAATTTTTACTAAAGTACTTATTTAACAATTGTTAAAAAAATAAGGGTGATTTCTATTCAAAAAAGAATTACATCACACAAAAACTAGAAAATTTAGTTTAAACATGTAAATAAAGTGGAGAAAGTTCTAGAACATTCTAAGTCAATTACGTGGTTTCTTTTATAAATAGTTTTTAATTATTTTAATTGTCGTTATGTATTTAGCGGCTTTGAATTGTTGATTTTCTAGGTAGATATATTATATAAATGGATGTAAAACTTAGTTAAAAAATAAATTTTTGGAAAGAAAAGAAGTTTTGTTTCCAGCGAGAAAATTACAAGCTAACCGGGCATGGATTCGAATATCAAATTATTGGATATGTTTGAAACGTTTTATGGAGCATTGGACGCTGCCGTTTGGATACAGCGAACTAAAATGATTGCAGAAATGCAAAATGTAAAGCTGAAGTCACTTTTTCCAATTTTTATGAGAGGAACTGCCTATTTGGCATACGATGGTTTCAACACTGAAAACAAGCAAGACGAAGAAGTAGTTGAGCGTGTTTTTTTAGCAGCATTCTCTTTAGATGCTTATACAGCATACGAACTTTTTGTTAAACGAGAATTAAATGTTGGAGAAAATGTTGATGTGCTTTTTGGCCGACTTAAAACAATTGGCTTATCTTGCTAAATTGTCAGAAGAGTCTATTCGATTAGCGTTTGTTGTTGGATTGCCCAAAGATTTATCATCAAGATTTCGAGCTGTTATGGATCCAATCGAAGTTATGTTACCCAAGGTTAGAGCTGCTTTGAATCGTGTATGCGTAGATAATGCTGCTGCTGTTTTTCGAAAACATCCCAAAAAGTTTCGTTAATGCGGTTACAACTGCATAAGGTTAAATCATATCGCGCGAAACTGTCCCTTTGCAAAGAATCTGGCTCCGAAAAATTTTTTTTGATGTTTTAAATGTGGGAACAAAGGACACGTTGCTGCAAAATGCTTAATGAAGCAGGGAAACGAGTGCGGGAGCGAGGAATGTGCGCTACCTCGTTCCTGAACAATGGTGGTGTTTTGGATTACGTCTTCTAAGATAAGTAGCAAAAATTAGCGGTTATATCTTAATAAAAACAATAATATATTTGTAATGATGCGGTCTTTATAAAGATACTGGGAAATTACGCTAACGTATTTTTTAAGATAATAATATAATATTTTGTGGTTTTGAATTTTACATAAAAAATGGATCATATTTGTAAATAATAGATTCGCAGTCATATGTAAATAAAACAAAATAAACAAACAAGTGAATTCATTAATGTCACTGGGAAACGGCTAATAATTCCCCACACAAAAAGATGGCGACCCTGCCAGGACCAAAGGAACCTACAAATAATCGAAATGCATCAAGAGCAAAATTATCAGAGGGAGATCAACATGTTGAATATAAACATTAAATGCATAGAACGCAACACCGCAAGCAGCGACAAATCGAGCATAATCTTGGCTTTAGACAAAATAACAAATTTGTTTGCAAGATATGAAATGGCAAAGAATGAGCTGACCAGAAAAATGCTGGATGACGGCGAAAGCATTGATACGGTTGAAGAATGGTTATCGAAACCAATAGTGGAAGTTGAAGCAGCGAATGCAATTAAAAACGAAATGGTAAATAAGTTAGATCTAATAAATAAAAAACGGATTGCTGAATAGCTTCGTTATTGTTGGAAACAATAACAAAGCTGTTCAGCAATCCGTCAGGCTTCAAAAGTATACTATTACAAAATTTGATGGCGATTATAAAGACTGGTTACATTTTTGGAATCAATTCACGGTGGAAGTCGATAACTCTAACATATCAAACATTAGCAAATTCAATTACTTAATGGAACTCGTCGAAGGAAAACCTAGAGAGGACATACTTGATTTACCACACTCGTTGGAAGGATACGAAGAAGCCAAGCGTATATTACAAGACACTTATGGAAAAGATATTTGGATTCACAAAGAATTGATTAAAGATC